CCCAGTGCCCGCTCGTCCTGACGACTGCAATACCGGCACTCATCAACAGCACATGGTCGTCTGGAGAGGGCATCTGCGTTGGTGTGTTGTCGGCCTGGGCGATGCCGAACCTCAAAGTCATACTCCTGAAGTATCTCCAACCATCGGGCCACGTGCCCCTCTGGCTGGCGGAAACTCAGCATCCAGGTGAGGCTGGCATGGTCAGTCCTCAACACAAACCTAGTACCCAGTAGGTAGGGCCTAAAGTGCCGTACAGCCAGGATGACAGCCAACAGCTCCCGTCTGGTGACACAGTAGTTTCGCTCTGGTCGGCTGAGGCTGCAGCTATAGTAGGCCACCACCCGTTCTCCTGCCTCTCCCTCCTGGGGGAGTATAGCCCAGACGCCGACGCTGCTGGCATCGGTGTCCACAATGAAGGGCCGCTGGGGGTTGGGGTAGGCCAGAACAGGAGCTTCCACCAAAGCCGTCTTGAGCTGGTGGAAGGCGGTGCGCGCAGTCGTCCCACTCGAACCTCTTGCCCTTGTTAGTCAGCCGGTGCAGGGGGGCAGCCACAGTAGCAAACCCTCTGACGAACCTCCGATAGTAGGAAGTCAAGCTCAGAAAGCTGCAGAGTTCTGCAACGTTCTTAGGTGAGGGCCAGTCCCTCACCACGATCACCTTCTCTGGGTCAGTTGCCACTCCCTCCTGGCTGACCACATGCCCCAGGAACTGAGTCTGTCGGCTGAGCAGGTGGCATTTGGCTGGGTTCAATCGGAGTCCAGCACCCCGGATGGTGGTCAGGACCTCCCGCAGGTTGTCGATGGCCTGGTTGTAGCTTCCAGCATGGACCAGCAGATCATCCAGGTACACCACGCATCGGGTACGAGGGATGTCTTTTAGGACGCGCTCCATCAGCCTCTCGAAGGTGGCTGGGGCATTACACAGACCAAAGGGCATTACTTTGAACTGCCACAGTCCCTGCCCTAGGGTGAATGCAGTCTTCGGGCGGGCCTCTGGCACCAACTCCACTTGCCAGTACCCGCTGCGCATGTCCAAGGAGCTGAACCAACTGGAACCAGCCACATGATCCAAAGTGTCATTCGACGCGGGGCAGTGGGTATGAGTCTTTGCGGGTAATGGCGTTAAGGCGCCTGTAGTCTACACAGGGGCGCCATCCCCCATTCTTCTTCCGCACCATGACCATTGGTGCGGCCCAGGGGCTGTTGGAGGGCTCAATAACACCATTAGCTGCCATTTCTTTGATTAGCCCTTCAGCAGCCTGGCGTTTGGCGAAAGGCAGTCTGTGAGGGCGCAGCCGGATAGGAGTGGCATCCCCGGTGTCAATGTGGTGTTGACAGGCCCGTCCTGGTGCAGTCCTCCTCTTGCGCTGCAAAGACATCGGTGAATTCCCTCAGCAGACTCAGCAGCCATGGAGAGGTCTCTGTCGGGGCTCCCTTGCTGGTTGAGCACTACTAGTCTCTGCCTCCTCGGCCATGCCCCCTCCCATCCCTGGTTCTGCGGCACGGATGTAGGGGCGTGGTGGCAACGCTCTCGCTGGCCGTGGACCCAGCACCTCTTCGGCCCTCTCGGTTTTCCTCAGCGCCTCGTCTATGTTGCAAGGCGCCAGGAGCCGGACATGCTGTTGGAGCCGCACTGGGGTGAGGCCCCTCAGGAAAGCGTGGAGGCTCAACTCACTTCGTGCCGACGCCGGGAAGGTGGGATATCCTCGTCTGACGTAGATCCTTAGGTCAGCGGCAAAGGCACCCAGGCTCTCTCCTTCGCGGCGGTGGCGATTAGCCAGTTCTTCTCTACTCTGTTCGGCAGATGTTCTCTGGCCGAAATGGCAGTCGAGGGCAGCAATGAGAGAGGGTAACTCAGCCTGTTCCTCTGGAGACAGATCGAGGAGGACCTGTAGTGCGGTCCCCTCTAAGGCAAGGGCGGGTGGCAGTCTCTCCGGGGCTCCATCCTGCGTGGAGGGCTGCTAGGTTCACTTGAGCAATGTAGGGCTCCAAAGGAGTCAGTCCATTATAACGGGGCAGCTTGACTGCTGGC